GAAAAACCATTTCTTACTTTAATGGGAGAAAACCTCTACTTATCTCGACTTGTTCATGGTGAGCTGGGGGCTTGTGGTAGTCATGAACGTTCGGTTTGGTCACATGCACCCGTGGTGTTGAACGTGGCAGCGACTCCACCGGTAGACCTCGACCTGCGCCCTGCAAGATCCGGTGTTTTCGGGCGACGAGCTCAGTGCCCAGAAGTCACCTATTAAAGGTCCAAATGCCACCGATCTTGGAGGGTCCTGGTGTGGAAATCCGAGTTCCTAGCTCCATGTTGAATGGGGTTGACAGGGCTTTGCTTCGGGCCGCGTTTGGCAGGTGTTCTGGCTTTGAGGGACATGACCCGATATAAAACAAGAAACAGCACTGCTACCTTTTTTTCTGGTGATCAGGCCCTCTCTTCAGTGAGGATTCTGTGAGCGAATTACGATATAGGGCCAAGGTCATTTCAATCGTATCCCATACCGTCCCAAACAACGAGACCTGAACAACGAGACGGACCCAGCACCACATGAGGAGGAAGAGAGAAAGACGGAGTATACAGGCGGGTGTTCAGAGTGGCTCCTCAGGTTCCACGCTTCCAGTGCCAAACCTGGGAAGCTGAGCCAGGGCTTCTTAGTGGCTTTATAGGGTCTGTTTTCACCTCCTCAGGTTCAGCACGATGAACGGACCCCAACATTTTGGATGAGGGTATGATTTCGGCTAATCGATCTCAGCGCTCCAATTCAAAGTGTTGGGCAAGAGTGCGGCTGGCGCATGATTTCTCATGACTTTGGATGAGTTGTTTGCCATAGCACTACTGCACATGTCCAACTGCAATTTGTATCCTTTTGTTTTTTCCAGTCCTTCGTGTTCCCTTCACAAACCACACTCTTTTTTTTCAGGTGGGGCGCTTGACCCATTTTCACCCCATAGAGACATGCCTGGTTTTAGGCCAGATGGAATTCAGAAGATCTCATGGATTTGTCGTGGCGTCCCACGACGCGTTTCATTTTTGATGTATGGCAACAGCGTTTCTTGCAATGCGTGTTGTTTTCGTCGGCCACAGGACGAGATAAACAATGGGGTCCCTAAGATCCCCTAAGTATAGAACTTGTATGTATTTATATGTACTGGTGTATTTGTTCGGTTTTTTAAATAGGATCATGTCTAATTTTCTCAGGTACTTGAAGTCGGGTCCAGGTATGCCTCAGAGAGTTCCTCAGAGTAACACGTTCCTAGTGCCTCTCTTTTGGAGACAGTCCCAAGGTTTTAACAATGGTCAAGGCAGTCGTTTTTGGTTGATTACCAAAGAAGGGTACCCAAACAGGTGAACATGCTGAACATGCTGTTTGTGTTTTTTGCATGCTCTCGCTTTTGTCGGGCGCTTGCAGTTTTCCCAGGCATTTGAGAGGCTGAGAGCTTTCAAGGCACAGCAGATTTCAGGGGTGCGATGCTTCCTGCATCTTCCTGCATTGGATTGTACAGGCCTGTTTGGTAGTGGTGCAAGCCGATGATCCACTTGCAGCCTTGGCAGCCCCAACCCTGGAATACCCTGTATATATGATGGGTTGCTGCTGTCTTGCCATGCCCCATGAACACCCGCCAACTCCAGTCAGCGCCAAGAGTGCTAGATTCAAGCTGATTCATCGCTAACTGAGAGGCACCACTCCCAAGTTCATAGTCCCGTGGCACCACCCTCGGACAGGTCCTATCGCTTGGATTGAGGTGAACAGTGACCGCTCACAAGGTGTCCGGAATGCTGGAGAATTCTCCCCTACCACTTGTAAATGTATTACAGGGGTGCCTCCTGTGAAGTCCTCTGTGGCCATGGGGATGTGGGAATCTTTTTTCCCAGCTAGCAAAATGGAAGTCTGAGCTGTTTGCTTTTTCCCGGACAAATTGGAAGTCTGAACCATTTTGCTTTTTCCC